GAAGAAATGCGTCTCCAAGTTTCAAGAATATTGCTTAAAATGCGTTAATCCTACTTTTTTATGAAGTGCATTTTTTCGGTCAAATATATATTATTCTGTGTGCTTCACCCTTAATGAATGTGTGAAATAGTTTTCAATGTTAACTATGTTCGTTACCGAAAGCTGACGCACTGTACGAGGAAGGAGGAAATATGGTTATCGATTTGACAGTTGGACTTACTAGGTGGCGATAAGTATTCTTAATTGACTTCTGAACATTACTGCTTCTGTTAATCGTTATTCTTTGTGAAGGTTTGACGGCAATCATACGCCCGATAATAATTGCGGGCTTTACTCAGTTTTTAACAGACTCCGATTGCCGCATTGTGCCAGTGATAATAATTATGCATCTTGGAAAATTCGTTAATGATCCATGTTTGACGCGTCTTAAAACGAGTCGAAGAAGGCAATACTGTCTCTACATAAAGGTTATTTTTCTTTGAGAGCGGTGTGTTAAAAAAAATAAATAAATATTTGATCTACAGCTAGTTTTGCCTGCCATCGACCAGTAAATTGACCGAAATAATTTTAAAAATACAATGAAATTTATATTTATTATTCGCTAATAAAATTATATATGTATGTATATATATATATATATATATATATATATATATATATATATATATATATATATATATATATATATATATATATATATATATATATATATATATATATATATATATATATATATATATATATATATTATATATATATATATATATATATATATATATATATATATATATATATATATATATATATATATATATATATATATATATATATATATATATATATATATATATATATATATATATATATATATATATATATATATATATATATATATATATATATATATATATATATATATATATATATATATATATATATATATATATATATATATATATATATATATATATATATATATATATATATATATATGTATATATATATATATTCTCACGTATTGATTCATATTCATATATATATATATATATATATATATATATATATATATATATATATATATATATATATATATATATATATATATATATATATATATATATATATATATATATATATATATATATATATATATATATATATATATATATATATATATATATATATATAAACAATACAGATACAACGAAGAAAAAATTATGTTCCACTCCCATATATCAATGGACTATGCGAGAGCCTAAATAATTTATTTAAAAAACATGACAGCAGAATATTTCGTGTAGTATTGAATCTGTTTTCCCTGAAACTGTATAGGTATTGCGTTGTGGTGTGGATTATTTACGATGGGAACCGTACACATTAGACAAATTAGCAGCTTTTATGTTACTAACACCGCTTATCAATAAAAATTGTCAAATACGCGTGACTTTTCGTCGACAAAACTGTTGAACACAAACCGATATGTTCCTAGAAAGGTCCAGGCCAGTAATACTGGTCTATTCGCGGTCTCTTTTCATACCCTTTCTACGTGTTCGTAACATCACATTTAAAGTGTTTTGTATTAGGTATCTTTTTATGCTCTAGGACTAAAGGAGGATATCCTGCTTGGTTTATGCGTATTATGAAATGACCAAAGTAATCCATTAAGATCTATTAAAATCTATTAAAAATCTATTGACTCTAGTCGGCGCAACAGCGTAATAATGAGTACATTAAGTTATTATATTATACCTAAAATTCATAAACAAGAACTACTGTACTTCTTGAATGTACTGTCCATTTAATTTAAAATTTGGTAGGCAAGTAATTATGTTAGTGAAGAAAATAGTATATTATGCAACAAGTGCGGTAAACGGCATTTGACTCACGAGTTTATTTGACACGAGCGGAGCGCAGAGGAGCGAGTGAGTTAAAAAGTTTACCGGACGTGTTGCATACTATACTTTTTCTACGACCGTTAGTTTTTGGGTACATTTTCGCAAAACAACGTCAAAATTCAAAGCGTGGGAAATATATCCGAAAACATCCGATCGCTTCCAACCCGTGCGGTAAAATCCCGGAAATGTCCGAAGTAGCTCGGATTCATGGGAAACGAAACTGATGTGGTAAGGTGACGTTTCCCGCACGCTAGATTGGTGGGTAATTAGGTATTTTACAGACGGGAGTAGAAAAAGATTTTTTTCACTATTATTAAGATATTGCACCACATATGTAATTATGCAGCCGACTTCATAAATTTCTGCGATAATTGTAATTTCGCCGAAGATGCCCAAAAAAGTACCGTTTTTGTTGTAAAATGTATCTGTTGGTATATTTTTTAATTTTGCCCACCTTTCTTTTTCCAATTTGAAATTAAAATTCGTGAAAACCATAAACTATGATTTTTTTTTGCTGTATTTTTTCGGTTTCGTATTTTTTAAATTTATTTCTAAAGCTAATTCTCAATCTTCAATATCTAATCGCAATGAATTACATTAAATATAAGTAATAAGATCTATAAGGCATGGGCAGCACAACATTCAAAAATTTGCAACGTTCACAAACACACACAACACAAACTGCATTTTAAGCACATGCCATGGTGTAAAATTAGATAATAACGTTTTCCAAGTAATGTTCCGACACTTGACAGAATGACAGACATAGATAACAAAACAAGATAAAGGGTGTCAATTTTTTTTTAAATAAGCTTTTCGTAAATATGAAGGCTAATTCGGCTAAAACTCTGGTCTGCTTTCAGAGCGAATAAGTCTTCGGTTTTTTACTAAAAATTTTAAGCGAAAGCATGTGTTATTCAAATATTAACATAAATTCAACAGATCCGAGTCAGCTGTAATCTGATATAAAGCAGTCACAGAGGATCCGAGTTCTTTCTGGTCGTTTATTAGATCTAAGCGTTCAAATACGGAATTGCGAGAGATTTTCATTTATACGGAAAAGAGCTACACCAGCCCTGAAGAGATTGTTAATGCTTTTCTTAAGTTTTTTGTATAGATAGATAGAACCCTCAGTTGAATGAATTTTCTAATGTGTTTATTACTATTGATCACTTCACTGATGACGCTATATTAAGATCATTAGGGCGGACTCAGAACAAAGTAGTCCTGTTAAAGTCCCTTGTTTGGGTGTGCGAGATTACGCACATGCTGTGGTTAAACGCATGTCTCTTGTTTTTAACTTAGCCCTAGCGACAAATACCTTCCGAAATGTCTGGAAGGACTGGAATTACTTTCGTCATAAAGAACGGACAAGCATCTGATATATCCAAATACAGGCCTGTATCGATAATATCGCCTTTTGAGAGGGGTTTCGAGATATGTATTTTCAGCCATTTGGTAACCCACAAACAACACAGTGTCTTTAAAGGTCGAAGCTCCATCAGTAATTGGGCTTGCATTACAGAATTCACTGCTAAGGCTTTGGACGACCGTAGGCGGGTGGATGTGCTATATACGCACTTTTCGAAAACCTTCGGCATGGTGGACCACACTGTACTGCTCTCTAAACTGAGGATGCTCGGATTTTGTGATGATCTTGTGGAATTCATAAAGTCATATCTGCATAACAGAATGCAGTGTGTGGAGCCCAGCTTTCACTTATCGCTTAGGTTCGTGGCTAGTAACGGAGTTCCCCCAATTTAGCGCCATTGATATTCTTGCTTTTCATTAATGATATAGTAGCTAACATTGATAGTAAAATTTTGCTCCTTGCTGATGATGTGAAGTTGTTTAGAATAGTTGATAGCGTGGACGATTTTGTGTCTCTGCAAAATTATTTGGAGATTATTGGTTCTTGATGTGCTTCTAATAACCTACTCTGAATGCAGATTAATGTTTCGCAATGACATTCTCAAACAAAACTGAAACTATGTTTTAATTGCCATCTGGATAAGGTATAATTAAGAAAATGTGACAATTTAAAAAAACCTGGGTGGCACGTTTAACACCAAACTCTTCTTCAGAAATCACTTCGTTGAAGCCAGTGGCGATGCGCAGAAAATGCTGGGATACATAGTGAGAAATTCTAGATATTTTGTAAGCGAACAATACTTTAAAACTGTTATACTAAAGTTATGTGGACTCAAAACTAGAGTATGGTTCAATGGTGTGGCAACCACTATTTAGCAAGTATATCACTCAAATTGAAAACGTACAGACACAGTACCCAGCTAAGGGACTGCCACAGACTGATTTATGATGTTTGATGTTTGATTTTTGATGTCTAAGCTTGCTCACTGTTGAATCATAGGAGGTAGCTTTTATTTCAGTTTTTATATAAACTTTGCAATTGATTGGTGGATTGTCCTGAGTTGCTGAGTCAGTGACCGGATGTTTTAGGCAGATTTTAGTCATGGTATTCTGACGTTGTTCTGAAGTCACTCAGTGAACGTATTCGTGCTATTTTGCAAAAATGTACCTAAAAACTAGTGGTCGTGGAAAATGTTGATTAACTTCTACAGTCACAAGTTTGTTTTGCCACAAGCGGAACGAGCCAACCCAGTTAGCATTGTACTGAAATATCATTTATTAGTAGTGATTATTTCTAAAGTAGCATCACTCAGTGCTAACATTTGTATTCCTGAAAAACAAGAGTTATAAAAACAAAATATCGCTGTATAATAGCTTACTAGGTCAGTCATATGCACAATTCAATTTTTTCTTATATAATGCTCCCTGTAAAATTTGTAGTCCAGATATATTGTACAAGAAAAACGAAACACAAAATTGAAAACGTAAGCGAAAGAATATAACAGTTATCGACTCGGTCGGATGTCAAAGTCTTTTAGTATCTGGGAAAAAATAAGCCGTCAGGTCCAACGACCTCTTTTCAAAGTTATAAATACCTAGTATATTCGTCATTTGTGTATCGCTTTCGACTTATTATTTTAATCAAACCACACGCTCTTTGAAAAAGTAAAGTGGTTATCTACGCAAAAATATATAAATAGGATGGATGTAGCGAACAAAACATATTTCATTCGAACGAAAGTTCGCTAACCGACGCCACTTTTCCAAACATGCAACTAGTTTTATTGGTAGGTTTGGTGGGTCTGGTTGGTTTCGGCTCCGAAGGACGTGGTAAGCTTGGGTCGTGATTTTGAAGCAGGACTCGAGAAATTATTTTCAGTCGTGCGTCCAGTGGTCGAGTTTTCGAGGATGTGGCCCGTTGGTTCATTGGTTGCGCTAACAAGTCTCTGGTTGACAGTCTTCCGGAAATCGGCGTCTCTCAACAGAACCCTCTTCATATAACCAATATATCATTCCCTCTTGACTTGGGAATTGTGCAGTATCTAGAGGTTTTTGCCGCCACCAGATTCGAAAACAACTTTACCAACTTAGTTTGGAACAATCTACCTTTTTTTGATATCGAAAAACTGTACAGCGGCGGTTCGAATGAGATCGGATTTTGGACGTAATTTGACTGGGGATTATATTGGAACAACTTTACCATCACCGGCGATTTCAACTGGTTCAAACCGGAACAGCTACGCTCCTGTGAGTAATAAGTTTCGGGAACGCGTTAGAAGACGTCCACTCGTCTGGCATATGGAACAGTACCATTGCCGATGACCAACATTCGCGGTTTGTTCATGATTTCACATTTAACTACACGGCCAGCAGTTCGTCGGTAAGTACTCGTTTGTACTGGTCCTTAAATTCTATATGGATAAGCGTTCTTAATTTGAGCTTTCAAATTATATCTTCAGCTAACTAATTTTTTTTAGTTAAGAGTAAAGTAGTAGTTAAACTTTGAGCGGATATTCAGAGAGACTCGCTAAAAGACGATAAAGTACTACAAAACTAAGGCAACCTAACTTTGAATTTGATAAATACAAGTTTTAGGGATTTTTTTAAAATGAATATTAGTTATTAAAAGTATATATAAACCATATAAGGATCCATTTTTCGCTTTTTAATTGAAACATTTAATTTCATAGAGTTGATTTGCCCATTATTCTTCTTTACCTTAACAAACTCGCCAAAACTCAAAATAATAACAATCATATAAATAAATTTGACTTAATGTTAACTGATACCAATTAATTTAAGATGGGGGATATCGAACATTGTTTTAAAAAAGAGTTTGAAAATTATGGGGTCACTTCGATTTATTGATCATATTAAATGTTAGTCCATTTTTCCAGTGTGCTCGGGTCGAAAACTAGATAGACCGTATCCCTTCATTAAAAAAAGTTTAATAGTAAAATTCTTTAGTTGGAACATGTTTAGACCACTTAATGATAACTGGTCCACGGGCCCTTCGCTCTCCAGCAAAGAAATTTTAGAGACTCAAATATGACAAACTAAAGAAAACAATAACGGCAATTAACAAAACTAACAACAAACTCTTCAGGATTATTTCTAGGTTACATTAGGTTTAGTTTTCATTTGGTTTTGAAATTTTTTGTTTTCCGGCAATAAAGTTAAGCGAAAGCTAGGAATAACTGTTTTAATCGTGAACTTTATTGAACTCTTGCAACCTGTAGGTTTTGGTTAACGGTACACCATTTCATTCACGATGGGCCAGGGTCATTCACGATTTGATTGACCCATTGAATGACACTGTGCGGTCCTCCGCAGCCCAGTTTTTGAAGGATGTCAGTCTCAACGGTTTCTGGAACGATCCGGATCATCCCGAGAGAGTTCAAGCAATCATCGACCACTGCGACGCTTAAATTGCGTAAAACTGTCGATAAAACTTATTAATCTCCGGAAATGCCTGTAGAAATGCATTCGAAAAAATTAATAAAAAGTACCCCAAACTTGTGCAATATAACAAAATATATTCAAAATTTGAATGAATTTCTTTTTAAAAATGCGTGGTAAAGATAATTACGCCTAGAACATGTACCGTTTTTTGAAAATAGTCAATTCTCCGGCGAGTTAGTGATTTTGTTAAAAGTAAGAACCTTTTGCGGCGCTGAGAGAAAATGTAATTGGATTGGTCAGCCGCGTCCTTTGGGAATTTGGATGGATTTAATGAATTGGAATGGATCAGCCAACTATTTCGCGACTTGTCAACTGATTAGAAATAATCAAAATGGCCGCGATCTATTCCTAGTACAGGCTATTGTAAGGCGCAAACCCCTTCCAAAACTTGGAAAGCACCAATAGGCAGATTTCTGGGACTGGTAAACGAATTTCAAAATCGAAATATTTTGAATTCTTTTGTTATTTGAATTAGTTATTTTGTTTCTTTTTAAGTAATACGCTTCATTAGTGTGACGTTTCAAAATTAACAAAGTGGCGTAATAAAAAATATATTATTATAGACAATATTAATTTCATTGGCTGTGTTTAGTTAGGTATATAGGTAAAAGGTAAAAGCTTGTCTGGTTGGGATTTTTGCAGTAGAATCCAACGGCGTAGTCAGTTTTCTTCTGAAACTCAAAAATTTTGCTATAGCAACCAAATTTGTGTTCTTTTAAATGGCATGAACTTTATGCTTCTTATGAATTTTTAAAACTATGTAATACATATTGCATATGAATTGTGTAATATGTTTTATATAAATATATTCATTACATAAATTACATCAGTATTATGTCCAATTTTTAGAGAAAAATAAATTAATTATGAAAATATTAATAATTAATAATAATGAAGGCCACATTTCTTAATTTACTTTCTTTATAATTTTCATTTAGGTTGTTTTAAAATAATCATAGCTTTTTTAAACTTCCACAGTTAGTTATGATACTTATACAGAAAATGCATGATATCTTCGCCATTTTTCATGACAGAAACCTACCAACCACCAGATTTGCAAAGGGCTCCACACAGCTATAAGAAATGGGAAGCAATAAGAAAGCATCTCACTGTAAAAGTACTCTAATAATGTTTTTATCCGAATAGAAAGCATTTTTTGAATCATTGTTTTCAATTAAAAGTCTCGATATTGATTTTGCATTTTGTACTAATCGATCTCCACGTGCAAAAATTCGTCGCTATAGAAGCGAGTTTGATTTGGCGTGATAAGCGAGTGCCTGAAAAAGTTTATCAACCTGCTCCATACAGTTTTTCTACTACAACTAGTTTTGGGGTATATTTTGCAAAACAATGTTTTAAAACTATAAGGGTTAAATATTATGTTATGTTTATTTAGATGTAATAAAATCGCAGTACTAATAGAAAACACGATAACAATAAATATAAACAATTACCAAATTAAGTAGATTGTTATTCAAAATCTAATTTTAGTCGAGATTTAATTACAATATAATATATGTTAAATAAATATCATTTCGAAACAAATATTCTAGAATTTTAGTTTTTGTATTTGATGATTTTGGTGATTTTTTGTAGCAGGTAGCTGCGATAATTTGCGTTGTAAATTAATATGTCACTGCTATCCGGAATATTTTTGAAAAGATAATTTATAATTGAAGCTGTGTTCGAAAACATCCGATGGTTCCCAAACCCGTGCGGTAATATCCTGAAAATGTTCCAAGTGGCTCCAATCCGTGGGAAAGGAAGTAACGTGGTAAAATGACATTTTTCACGTATTTTACCGAAGAGAGTATGTTTATATTTAAAAGGTTTTCTTTTCCTACAGTGTCTTCGTTTATTTCCAAAATAGCCAGTCTATCCCAGCTTATAAACATGCATTAAAAATTCACTTACTCTATATGCAGTAGTTTTGGACTATTGGCCTACTGTCAAGTTGCCATTAAAGACTTTTTTATTTATCATATAATGTTCTGTTTTCGTGATTTGTGAATTTGCGCATCCTTCTCTCAAATACAACTTAATTCATGGGTTGCATTTTATTTTCATTGGTTACGTTACCGTAGGGTTTAAATCTTTACTCCTTACATTGTAATTGGAATTTGCTTTATTGTAGAATAAAATAATTATTCTTTAGTTCTAGGTGATGGCTTCAACAAACACCACACTATGATATATCTTATTGTATTAAAACAAAAGGAATTGTATGCTGCTATTTTTGAAGCCTCTGACCGTGTGAATGTTATAGACTAGTGCAATATATTTTCTATCATTCCAAAATGTGTAAAATAACCGGGAAAAATGTTGAAATAACTTTTTTGCAATCTGACCCCGACAACTATTCAAGTTACACCCCATCACGTTTTTCTACACCCGTCTGCAAAATGACTCATTACACACCGATCTAGAGTGCGGGAAGCGTCACTTTACCACGTCAGTTTCGTTTCCTATGCATCCAAGCGACTTCGGAAATCTCCGGGATTTAACCCCACGAGATATTTCCCACACCTTGAATTTTGACATTTGTCAATTCTGACGGTCATGTCAGTGAATGTATTCGTGGTGTTTTGGGAAAATGTACCCAAAAACTAATGGTAGTAGAAAAAGTATAGTATGCAACACGTTCGGTAAACTTTTTAAGTCACTCGTTTATTAAACACTCGCGCCGTTGCGCTCCGTTCGTGTCAAATAAATTCGTGAGTCCAATGCCCTTTACCGCACTTGTACGTTGCCAAATTTCCCAACGGCATTTCTACCAATGAACGTCGGTAATTTGATCCCAGACTCTATGTTATTCTATCATCTATCATTACATTCTATGATTTTGACATTCTAGGGTTTTAACCTATCCTTTTTAATAGAATTACGATTGAGATTACTGGTCCAATAAATAGTGCCACTATTATATTCCAAGAAACCAGGTATTTACTATCAAATGCAAGAAAGTTTAGCGCCCAATGAAAAGATGATTTCGTATATACCTTAAAAATTAGTGACACCACACCCCAAGTTTGCAAATCAGTGAAGTTAATAAGCTCAAATAACAAAAATAATATATTATACAAAAAGTGCGGTAAACGGCATTGGACTCACTAGTTTAATAAACGAGTGAGGTAGAGAGTTTACCAAATATGTTGCATACTATACATTTTCTACTACCGTCACGAAAAAATCACAATTTAACAAATTAAAAATTACTATTACTAAATTTCGAACCATCCAAACAAAATATTTACTAGTTGCCATTAAACCTTCATTGTGTACCTTAGACAGAGAGAGGTGCATTATTGGATATGTCATATAAACAATGGAATAAAAACAATTTTCAAATGTTATATCGTTTATTTAACTGCAATTGATCATTAAGTAGTTTATTTAAAGAATATACTGTAATTGAAAGAAAAATCATCCAAGGATAGAACATTTAAGAGGATTAAATTTTTAAGATCGCATAAGCAAGAAAAAGCAGGACCTAACCTTCAATTTTGTTTTGTTTGTATTGATGAGAGATGGATATTTGAAAATCGTACAATTGGTGTTGACATGATATTAATGTTAGCGATATGTTTTCTATGGCCGCCAAGAGTCACGTATGCTGAGTCAGGACGGACGAGCGGCATGTCGTTCCAGCTACGCAAGAACGAACGGCAGTACGATATTGACCAAAGAGCCGAAAGGCAATGCTGTAATAGGTGGTCAAATAGAACAGTGCTTTGGTTTTTGGGGAGAGTTTTATTCCGTATAGGGTTGAAGCCCTTACACCATCTCTTAAGTTAACATCAGATGTGGAATAGTTCCGTGTCCAGTGTTGCAAAAGCAATACGAATTAATGTGAAAATGGCGGCAGACAATTTCAGAAACGGTGCCGCGCTGAATCTTACAACAGATTCGAACGAAGATAATGTGTCACCTAGTGTCGAGTCTATTTCTGAACTTTCGAAAGGGACAGTGCAGTGGCAAAAACTTCAATTAATTTAATCGCTGCCCAACGACAACAAAGTGCTGAGTTGGCGAATCAAACAAAGATGGCGATGATGTCATCGTCACATTCACAGGAAATGCCAACGCCCAACCTTCCCGTAGCAGTTCGCTCAAATACGCAAGCGTCAACATCAACATTCAACTTAACGTGAGTAGTTAAGACGCTACGAAATTAAACGATGAATTAAACGTCAGCGATAATTTAATGATCGCTAAAGCAGGCAGGCTTGAAAAATTAAAACGTGTTTTGGAAATCGATGACATACCTCGAAGAAAATTCCGTTTCGGGGAAAAACGAGATGTAAGTCATGAAAAATCCAAGAAGATTTTAAAAGGATCATGTTTTAAATGTGGCCGCCAAGGACACCATCGTGATACTTGTCACAATAAACACGACGCACCAAACGTAGTTCAAGAAGAGGCTCCAGGTTCATCCAAAGTTCCAACTTGTAATCATTGTGCAAGTGATTGACATTTTTATTAAAAAAAAATTACGCCATTTCAACGCAAGACCAACAGCGCGAAAATAGTGCGCTCTCGATGCGATAATCAAAACAGACGATAGGGTCCGTGCTTTCTCGAGATTTGGGACCCAAATTGTTTATGCTATTGGTGTTTATAATTTAATCACTGTTATGCCGATGTTGAGTTTGGATATTTCTTATGCGGTCGTACCAGATATTATTACGCCAGGGAACACCGACCTAATTATTGGATGGGATGTCATCAGTCGGCCTTGTTTACAAATCGAAAAAAAAACAATTTTGGGCTCGAATTGCACCATAACCTGCTCAATATTTCGAACGTAATGACTTTAAAAAGTGTTTATAGGGTTGTGATTAATCAATCAATCAATTAATCAATCGAATAGCAAGTCTTTTATTGTTTTGCAAAAATAAAACTCCCGACTAGATTATGACTGATGAAATGACAATAAACTTAAAGATCCAGTGGCGTATCGACCTTGTAGGTTGGCATATCAAGAAAGATTTCAAGTTAATAACCTTCTAAGGGCTGGTATAATTCGTGAAAGTCGCTCAGAATATGCAAGCCCGATAGTTCTAGTATCAAAAAAGAATGGTGAAGTTTTTATGTGCGTGGACCTAAGTGATGTCAATAACAGAGTCGTCAGAGCGAGATACCCGCTGCCGTCTATTCAACATCAGATCAATGCTCTCTGTCATGCAAAATACTTCACGACACTACATATGAAATCCGCCTTCTATTGAATGCAAATTGAATAAAAACTGGCGCTTCAATAAGCATTGAGGAGGCCATGCAGAACCTGGAAGATGTAGTTTATGCACTCGCTAGCCACTAAGGCGTTTGCTTTGAACTATGAATGAACTATGAAAACAACTTTGACTACGGAGAAAAAAAATGAACTGTGGCACTTCCTGCCATAGAAGAAAGCCGAGGTTGCTGGTTAATCAGCATCTCCTATTAGACGCGTCACCGAGCGATAACTTTGTTGATCCAGACAAAGCCGTTGTAGAGACTCTAGGACCTTGTGGCTGTTGAAGTTGCTCAGCTAACCGGCGGAGGAAAATTGAAACCGAAACACAGAGGACCATTTACTGTACGTGCAGTGCCTAATGACCGATATGCAAGAACAGGGACGGCGGACTACTGTAGCTGCTCATGAACAACTGCGTACATGACCGTCTACGAATTCACAAAAAGTCGGTAACGTACGATTGTTTACTTGTTCATTGTTTATTTAAAGTTTAAAAAAAAGTGAGGTTAATAATGACAATCCCATTATTGAAAAAAAAAAAAAGAGGTTAATGATGGCAATCCCATTATTAAGTAGAAGAATAATGGCAATCCCATTATTGAAAAAAAAAAGAGGTTAATAATGGCGATCCCATTATTAAGTAGAAGAATAATGACAATCCCATTATTGAAAAAAAAGAGGTTAATAATGGCGATCCCATTATTAAGTAGAAGAATAATGGCAATCCCATTATTGAAAAAAAAGAGGTTAATAATGGCGATCCCATTATTAAGTAGAAGAATAATGGCAATCCCATTATTGAAAAAAAAAAGAGAGGTTAATAATTGCAATCCCATTATTAAGTAGAAGAATAATGGCAATCCCATTATTGAAAAAAAAAAAAGAGGTTAATAATGGCAATCCCATTATTAAGTAGAAGAATAATGGCAATCCCATTATTAAAAAAAAAGTGTGAGATTAATAATGGCAATCCCATTATTAAGTAGAGGAATAATGGCAATAACATTATTGCAACAAAAAAAAAATCATGTTACAATAGCAACCCCGTTGTCTGATTGTAATGAGTTAAACTTTAAATAGTAACATTTACAAAAATTCTGTTGTTGGTTTCTAAAATTTTAGAAATAGCGCGAGGACGCTTTCAGAGCAGGATGGCCGTGTTAGCGATATGTTTTCTATGGCCGCCAAGAGTCACGTATGCTGATTCAGGACGGACGAGCGGTATGTCGTTCCAGCTACGCAAGAACGAACGGCAGTACGATATAGACCGAAGAACCGAAAGACAATGCTGTAATAGGTGGTCAAATAGAACAGTGCTGTGGTTTTTGGGGAGAGTTTTATTCCGTATAGGGTTGAAACCCTTACGCCATCTCTTAAGTTAATATTAATATAAGAACTGTAAAAACCACTAAAGTTCATGCGAACGGTATGCAAAATTTCGGTGGGAAACTTAAATTATAAATGTCACTTTATTTGCCGACTAGTCCACTAGATTTTAATTTTAGTTTATAGCACGTACTATTCAAATTGTCTGACATATTGCATAACATTTTTCTGTGTATTGCTTTTTGGGTACATTTTTGAAAAACAACACGAATACATTCACTGACATGACCGTCAGAATTAACAAACGTCAAAATTCAAGGCGTTGGAAGTATCTCCGAATACAGCCGATTGCTCGCAAACCCGTGCGGTAAATTCCTGGAAATGTGCCAAGTGGCTCGGATCCGTGAGAAAGGATACTGACGTGGTAAAGTGGCGCTTCCCGCGCGCTTGATCGGTGTGTAATTAGGCATTTTACAGACGGGAGTAAAAAAATTGTATATTATGCAACAAGTGCGGTAAAGGGCATTTGATTCACGAGTTTATTTGACACGAGCGCATTTTCGCAAACCAACACGAATACATTCGTTGACATGAACGTCAGAATTAACAAACGTCAAAATTCAAAGCGTGGGAAATATCTCCGGAAACATCCGATTGCTCCCAAACCGGTGCGGTAAAATCCCGGAAATGTCCGAAGTGGTTCGCATCCGTGGGAAACCAAACTGACTTGGTAAAGTGACGCTTCCCGCACACTACATTGGTGTGTAATTAGGTATTTTACAGGCGGGAGTAGAAAAATATATTCATTGTTTAGTGCTACGTCTAGACTGTGAAGCAATCTCTGGCACCTACATCCAACGTCAATATGAGTTTTCTTATAACCCTAATGGATCTAAATCCAAATTCAAAAAAGGATATAAATATGGCTCGAGCATCACTTAATTCAACCAAAGTCGTTAATAAACGCCACATTGTAAACATGAAACTTGGTAAGTTGGTTTCGGCTCCGAAACTCGTTGCAAGGTTGAATCAGGGTTTATATTGATGCATGGAGTGCAGTGGCCGAGTTTTCGAGGATGTGCGCCAACAAGTCTCTGGTTGACGGGGTTTCCGGAAATCGGCGTTCCTTCAGCCAACCCTCTTCACTTGAACAACTTGTCGCTCCCTTTTGACATTCGAAACATGCATTAAGTAAATAATCAGGTTGAAAGCACCTCGTGGTACTTAAAGTTCGTTAATTTGCCGCCACTAGATCCAAAAAGAACTTTTTTCCACCCCTGTCTGTAAAATACCTAATTACACACCGAGCTAGCTTGCGCTAGCTACACTTTACCATGTCAGTTTTGTTTCCCACGGATCCAAGCCACTTCAGGCATTTCCAGGATTTTACTCCACGACTTTGGGAACAATCGGATGTTTTTAGAGATATTTCCCACACCTTGAATTTTGACGTTTGTCAGTTCTGACGGTCATATCAGTGAATGTGTTCGAGTTGTTTTGCCAAAATGTACCCAAAAACTAACGGTCGTAGAAAAAGTATAGTATGCAACACGTTTATTAAACCCTCGCTCCGCTCGTGCCAAAAATACTTGTGACTCAAATGCCGTTTACCGCACTTGTTGCATAATATACTATACCAACATAGTATTGGAATTATCTGCCGTTTTTTGATATCGAGCAACTGACGGGGATCAGCGGCAGTTCCAAAGACACCGGACTTTGGACGCACTTTGATTGGGGATAACATTGGAATAGCTTTGCCTTCATCAGTGATTTCGACTGGTTCGTAACAGGAAACAACATCGAAGCCCAAAACGGGACAGCTTCTTTAATGTAAGTAAATATGATTGGGAAAATTCGGAAACGCGTTGGATCGATTCACTTTTTAATAACCCACTAAATAATTAAAGAATTTCAGAGTTCAAACTTGGATTCCAAATATTTAATATAATTATTATATAGCTCGATCGCATTATTGGTAAATCAGCGTTTAATTTTACAAGATTTATGGGGCATATATGGAATGGTTGTCGTCCTTAGCGAAGCACTGTGAATTTCACAAAAAAGACAAACCATCCTTCAAATTGGTAGAGAATATTTCATATCCTTATATATAAAACTTGCGAGTTAAATTTGAACCAGAGGCACTGATATACGATCAAACTTTCTCAAATAATCAAATCTAGACTATACCTTACTTGTTTAATCGCAACGGACTACGTGCCGTTCTGGTTCCTTTTTGGTCGATTGCCTTAAAAAAAAAGAAACGCGCACATCGTCGCAAAAAAGAGCCTGGCTGAACCAGGCTGGAGGTTAGGCAAATTTATAATAATAAAAAAAAACTAACTAATACTCACAATTTACCCGAAAAATACTCCTCTACCAATATAGGGTCGAACATAAAATCACCAAGTGTATTTTAACAAAATATCATTCTAGTTTAATTAATGGAAGGTAAGAAGAAAAAGAAGTTATTTATCTTATTTTTCTTCTTTGAGGGTCGGCCGTCGTTTGATAAATTCTAAATTCTTTGCCATACTACAGGAAATTTCCCTTGTTACTCCCTCAAAAAAGTCGTCTTACCTAGCTGATAATATTTTATTTGCATCCGGGTTTGCAAACTTTGCATTTTTTGATTCTAGAACAGTTCTGAATACCGTCAGCGAAAAATGCAAGTCGTAGGTGTTTATCTCGTTGTCTAAGATGCTTTCGAATTGATCCCAAGCCTGTTGTATCATACATGAGCAATTTACCGACAGGACGTGTAATTAATGTATATAATATATATATATTTTTTTACTAACGAATGTTTGCCATCTATGAGCAGAGGATTTAATCCACGCCAGAGTAATTTTTGAGTCTGACCATGCGAAAAATTTTTTAATTATAATTTTATTCAGAGCATCACGAATAAAGTCTACTAAATTTGACAACAAAACAGCGGCACAGTTTCAAACGGGACAAGGTTATTCTCTTAAGAGATGCGACTCTCGATTTCCGCATTGACTAGCGTCGCAAAATCCATGCATTTGCATCCATGCAGCTTGAAACACATGCCTAGGAATTTTTAGAGAAGACAGCAGATCCAACTCACACTCAAATTTTCTCCATTTCGCGGTAATTTCGGGGGGAGGTTGCTGGTTCCAATCAAGGCCCAAGCTCGATAGGCAAAGCGACCACGTATCGGCTAAATAAATCTCTAAAATGGGTCTTATTGTATAGGTTTTTACAACATTCAGTTTCTGGCGATACCGTTTTGTCCCATAGTCGCTTAATATTATTATTTAGCGATTCCAAAATTTTTGTATAATACATCGACAAAGAAGCGACATTAGTTTTGTTTCAATAAACATGGGCCCCTCCGGGTCCGGGAAATTAATTAAACTCCGCTGCCCCAATTAGCAAATCGATATCGCCACGTTTCCAAAATTTCCTATTAGCCATTTCAAAAGTATCAAAGTGTGGCATATGCTGAAAGACTTGGCAATGGACAACAAATTGTTGGCAGCACCAAATTAAAGGCAACTGTGGTTCTATTGAAAAGTGACGCCTAACAATACAATTAGCAACCCCCTTCGCCGTTACGAATTCTTGGCTGCCAATGCCCGCTATATGAGTTTTACACTGTTCACGAAGCAGCCCAAGACGCATCAGACAATCTTCCGAAATAAAATTGGCGGCTGAAGCGGAGTCAAGCAAAACACGAATTGACACAAATTCCCCTCTAAAATTCTTAATGTGAACAACAGCCGTAGAAAAAATTGACACTGCATCGGAAGAGAAAACTAATGATGTTGCCACAGGAATAACACTATCACAATTATTCAACGTATTTTGATTTTCATTTTGTCTGTCCGTCGGCGATGCAAGTTGTGTACTCGAAGTACTTGTACTACTATTACCTATTGAAAAGTGTAGCAAAGCATTGTGGCGATAGACACACCAACCTACATACAACCATACATAACGAACAAGCAACTCCACCAGCTACGAAAATACCAGGCGTTGATTGTGATTTCAGCAAGTGAAATCTCATTGATAAACTGGGTATTACAAGTTTCTGAGTGCCTCCAAATTTTCGGAAAATATATTCAAGAGTTTGCTCAACTCGGTAATATTATCATCACTTTTCAATGGAGGAAAAAAGTAAATGTCATTCCAAAAATTTGTAGCAATCATTCTGTGATTTTCATATTTCTTAACCAGTGCATTATACGCAATAGAATAGTTATCGTCTGTAAAAGGCATAGAGCGAACCAGACCTGAAGGCTCGCCCTCCAAATACTTAAGCAAATACCTAAATTTATCGATATCGGCTATCTTGGTATCGCGCTGAATATGTCAAGAAATGTTCTTCACTCTTTATAGTTACCCGATAGATTTTTGTGTACATTGCAAAATGGGTGCGGACGAAGAACACGTACCAACAAGCTCGAAATAAATGGCTTTGAACAAATAAAACATCTTCGAAGAAGTGGCCCTAACTTCATCTTGTTCCCCCAAAACAGAAGTTAAAATTGAGATATTGTTATGAAATTTTTGAAATTTTGTATACTCTTGCAATGTATCTTCATCTCTACCCTTGAGTTCATAAATTTGCGAGTCGCCATCATTGGCTTTTACAGCTAATGAAAGAATGGGTGCCATTTTCCAATAACAAAATGGACAAAAAAAGACCCGAAATTTTCTAAATTGCCGCCGCTAATTACCGATCACTTAGAACTTAGATCAATAGAAAAGAAAAAATATACATAGATATATTAATCGACGAAAGCCGATAAAAAAAAAGAAAAAAAAAATTTATGACGTTATAAAAAAAAAGTTTAGAAAATAGTATTATTCAAGAAAAAATCAAAATGTTTACCTAAATACATCTAACCAATATTTTTATTTCTTGGTAAAAGCAAAAATGTGATCAGAAGAAGAAAGAAGAACGAAGAATATGTTGTAACTAGAAACAAAAATGATAAAAAAAAGCAAAAAGGATTTCGCAATGCGGTGGCGTTAAAAACAGTCGATAGAAAAACGCCATTCCAATTGGTTTAAGTATTTTTTCGTTTCCCGGAGATGGGTTAAGCGAATACTAGGAATAAATATGTTAATCGTCAACTTAATTAAACATTGCAATTTGTAGATTAACGTTGGTGGTACATCTTTCGACTTGGAGTATGCCCAGGCCATTCAAACTATAGTTGACACATTGTTCAACAATGTGCCGGCCCAGTTTCTGAAAGATACACATTTCAACGGTTTCTGGAACGATTCGAACCATCGCGAGAGAATTCAAGCCATTATCGATCATTGCAACGCTTAAATCTCGTCAAAATGTCGATAACGCTGTACAACTTAATGAAAGCAAATGTTATTATAAACTTTTATTTAATAAATACCTACTTCTTTCGTTAAATGCTTATTCCAGACACGCTAATATAAATCAACCAAAACCAACTTGTGCCATATCAGAAAATATAAAAGTTTCGAAGAGCTCCTTTTTTAAAAGCGTCGGTAAAAGCATGATGATGAAATTTTCACAATTTGCTTATCATTCCAAGTAGATTGATTAACTTAATTGTTCTAATATAATTGTAGCAACGTCCAATTTATTTCGGTATATCAATCAATATTTCAAGTGTTTGTTCAACCACCCTCGAAGTCATAGTTGCTGTTTTAAATGTACAATAAAAAGTTTCGTTGTTTTCGTTTAATATTAGCGGCAACAGCAAAATGTAGACTGTGTCAGTTAAGTTGTTATCAATACTGAGGAGTGATTTTTTCTCAATTCTAATCCTTTTTTCGTCGTAACGTGTTATTTACTTTATGATTATTTTAGTGATCGAGTTCTCTGGACCATGATGTAGAATTGTTTTCAGTTTTAAAAAAATTATAGACAATTAAATGCTTTAAAATACTTTTCGTACGTTTTTCATAGTTATTAATTTAGGATGTGTAATAGAATATTATTTGCAAATATTTGTAATAATTTCATTTCAATATAATCCACGCGGTAAAGATACGAAAAAATATATCCCTTTTAAGGTTACGCTTTTCAATTAACACTTTTTCACGTACGTTTTAAAATAAAGTGATGGGGGTAATTCGACGCTTTTTAAATTAAGGGCTGTTTAACACTTGGGGATGCCGCCGCTAGAGTGAGATTTTTGATGTAATAACAAAATCAAATGACATGCACCTAGTAAACGAAAAAAAAAGTACTTTTTTAAAGCTAAGGTTTAGTGAAAGTGATTTTTTAAAAACTTTTTTGGCGTAATTATTAAAATAAAGTGGATGGATTGATCCAATTTTTGGTTAGTTTTTTTTTATTTACATTGGAGAAAAATTTGCTTCTTCAGCTTACCGCTACAAAGCTCTTTTTTATATATTAACAGAAAATTTCCAACAAAATTAAATGCAATATTATTATGACTTTCTTTTTCATAAAAATATAGTGATATGAATCTTAGAATCGATTGTTAGAATTTGTTGCGCTGCGCTATTTCTTCATTCTAAAATACAAAATTAATTTCCGATTTTTTATTTTTAATTTTTTGTATTTTTGTGTCTTATAGAGAAAAATTTTAAAAGAAAATATGAAATCTCGGGCTTGATAAACAAGACCTTTACGAAGATTTGAAGGATGGACTTATCTAAGAAGGTGGTATTTGTCCATTAAATTACCAGACTCCAAAGTCTAGATGTCCCAAAATAAATCGAAATGCCGGTTTTACAATCCACTGATACTGATGAGAGCCCAAACGCAAGAGACAGTCTGCCAATACACAAGTAAATATCGTACAAAACCTCCACCAAAGCTTAACCAACAAGAACTTCCTGGT